ATCATAGAAACAAAAACGTTTGTACAACATAGTTTTGTGTTTGTACAGTCAACGGCAGACACTGTTATTCCACACATATTCAGACCCCCTTAAAATGCAGGTGTGAAAAACCTGTTGCATCATTCCCAAAAAGACTCATGGCTGTATTAGCTCAAAAGGGTGCTTCTACTAAATACTGAGCAAAGGGTCTGAATACTTATGACCATGTGATATTTCAGTTTTTCTTTTTTAATAAATCTGCAAAAAGGTCAAAAATTCTGTGTTTTTCTGTCAGTATGGAGTGCTGTGTGTATATTAATGAGGAAAAACATGAACTTAAATGATTTTAGCATATGGCTGCAATATAACAAAGAGTGAAAAATTTAAGGGGGTCTGAATGCTTTCTGTACCCACTGTACATAGGTGAAAGTATGCTGCACCAATTAGATGCCGACGAACAGTGGTAGAAACCAGAATAATAAAGAACTGCATAACATAGTGTAGATGCATACGCACCCACACAATAATAATAATAATAAAGAACTGCATAACATAGTGTGGATGCATACGCATCCATACAATAATAATAAAGAACTGCATAACATAGTGTGGATGCGTATGCATCCACACAATAAAGAACTGCATACGCATCCACACAATAATAAAGAACAGGATAACATAGTGTGGATTCTTACACATCCACACAATAATAAAAAACTAGAGAAATACATTTCCTATTGGAAATGCATGTGGATGCTGTAATGCTGAAGTATCGCCCTGAAAAGGCTGAAATACCTGAAATCAATTGCTGAAACAGCTGAAGGGTGAGAAGAAATGGGTGAAGTTCTTTGTTGAAATAGCAGAAGGATGAAATGAACAGAATGATTGTGCATGTCACTAAGCTTAGACAAAAAATGGACAATGAAACAGTTGGAAGGAACAGTTGTCGCAGAGCATTGGGTGCAGCTGACAATCTAGTGCAGCGAGAGACATGGTGAAAAAAATTAAATTGTTTTTGAGAGTGATATATTGTCGTGGATTCAAATGCTTAGATAGTGTCTAATGTTGTACTTTTGTTTTGAAATGCGTGCGTAATCCTCAATGTGTGATGTGCAGTGTAGTACTGGCACAAGAAAGTATGAAGCCGTCCAAGTTAAAAAAAAACAGTCGAAAACTTTCAAAGACTACTTCAGGACCACCCAGAAGACACTGCTGTCCTCGTGTTCCAAATCAGAGCAGGCACTACGGGCCTCATACCTCGTAGCTCAAAATATAGCAAAGGCCAAGAAGCCACATACAATAGCAGAGGAGCTCATCTTACCTGCGGCCCTGGACATGGTCAGAGAGATACTGTATTAGGCCAGTCAACAGTGGACAAGTTAAAGACCATACCACTATCTAATGACACCATAAGTTTGAAGTTCAAAGTGTTTATTTGTCATATGCACAGTTAGGAAACGTGTTTCCCTGTACAATGAAATTTTTACTTTGCCGTCCACATGAATGCCACAAAATACAAATGAAATATAAAGTAGATAAATAAGTAACACAAAATCTAAGGCACTTTAAGCAGCAAATGCAGCAATATAATAAACACATATAAGAATATAATAAGAGAATGTATGCTGCATGAGAGCAGCATGTGCAGCAGTCAACAGTCAATGTGCAATTATGCATGTGCAAACTGAGAATGTAAACAGTACATGATGTATTTCCTGGTAATAAACTCTGTCAGCTGTTTAGGAGTCTGATGGCAGAGGGAAAGAAAGAGTTTTTCAGTCTAGAGGTCCTGCATTTCACACTTCTGAACCTCCAGCCAGAGGGTAGGGAGGTGAACAGTCCTGGGTTGTGGGTGGTCTTTGAGGATGGAGGCAGCTTTCCTACG